GAGATCTGTCACCATCAGTTGCCTCTGGGAAGATGGGAACTCAAGAGAAGAAAGAGAATTTACATGGGACAGAGGGGAGGGGTGAAGCGAGGCTGGAAATGGAGAAGTGGAGGGATTGCAAGAGCAATCTAATAAAGAGGTTGAGGATAAGACAGGGGTGCCAGGAGGTAGCCCATGGCTTCTGTTATCCTCTAGGTCCAAAACTGTCTTCACCTTAATTGGAGAGTGAGAAATGGTGAGGCAAAGAGAGTCAAGGAGTAGGGGGTTAAGATTGTGGATTTGTTCCTGTATTTCCCCAGTGGTGTGAAACCCTCACTTCTGACATACTCAGGGATCCCCCCATCTCCTTCCCCTCCTGCCCTTACCTCCTCTGCTCTCCCCCTTCTCCTCCTCCTCTCCTTCCATTTCTGCACTGGGGGCACAGCCAGTTTTGGGGGAGTGGGGGCAGGTGTAGCAGCAGCCTGGAACAAGGCAGCAGTTGCATACAGGAGCTTTGCAAGGGACTTTTGCAGATACAGGGACACTGGGCAGAGAGGAACAGAGAAATTCCGGAGATTTTTCATGTGCGAGCAGATATTTCCTTTGAGAGTTGCTAGACTAAATAATACTCCTCGTGTCTCAGGGGAAATAACTACCACTGACCTGCATGTTCTCTGCAGGCAGGAGGAGCACAGGGAGCCCTGAGGCTGCCTGGGGGAGCTCAGCACAGACAGGTGAGCTTGCCCACATAAATGTCTTCACTGGAAGAATAAGCGGATTGTCTTCTGACAGTCGCCTGACACAACTCTCAGTTCAAACATGGAGGAATTGTTGGCAGACCGTGGGGATAAAATGGGCTGGACTTCTAAGAATAAATATACCCAGGCCTCTAGATTAACCCATTTTCATTTGTACATGTATATATTTATTTGGACTTATTTCTTTTTCATTACCAGAGGGCGTGTGCACTCACCAGGGAGAAATGCAGAGGGAGAAAATATCCCCCGCCCCCCCATGGAGCATGGTCATGCTGCAGCCCCATCCAGTCGGGATTTGAGGCATGCACACATATTCACCATGCATATTTTCTAATCCTAGACCAGGCAGGATTCAAACCATGGTCAGGCATGTGGGATCCAGCTCTCTTAACCACTGGGCTACAGAGCTGGCCCCTTATATGTATATATTTAAACAGATTTTTAGAGTAGTCTTAGTTCATAGCGAAATCGAGCAGAAACCAGAGAGTGCCTGTGAACCTCTTCCCTCACCATGCACACTCCTCCCCCACTTTCTGCATCCTGCATCAGAGGGGTACATTTCCTACAGTCAGTGTCACTGGGGGGACACATCGAAATCACCCGCAGCTCATAGTTCACTCTGAGGGTTCTCTGGGTGTCGTACACTCTATGGGTTCTGACACATGTATGATGGCCTTGATCTTACGGTGTCATACAGAGTAATTCCCTTGCCCTCAGAATCCTGTGTTCCACCCTCCATCCTGCACCCCCAGCCACCACTGACCTTGCTACTGCCTGTGCGGTTTCATCTTTTCCAGAATGTCTTAGAGTTGGTGCCATACAGCATGTAGTCTTTCCAGACTCGCTTCTTTCACTTAATAATATCTACTTACATTTCTTCTGTGTTTTTTAATAATGACTTGATAGCTTATTTCTTTTTCTTTTTTCTTTTTCTTTTTTTTTTTTTTTGAGAGTTTTTCGCTGTAGGGCGCGTGCACTCGCCAGACAGACAGAGACATAGAGACAGAAAGTGAGAAATCACCCCCCAGGGGGGATGGTCACGCCGCAGTCCCTTCTCCTCCATTCTCCTCTCGGGATCTTGGGCACACACGCACACGCGCCCGGCGTGAGTTTTAAGCCACCAGGTCCGGGACGCAAACCACGGTCGACTACGTGGGAGTCCAGCGACATAGCCATTATGCTAACTGCTGGTTCCCCAATAGCTTATTTATTTTTATTGTATTTTTAATTTTTTAAAAAATTTTGCTATAGAGTGTATACCCTCATAGGAGACAGAGAGAGAGGGAGGGAAAGTGAGAAAGTATTTCCAGGAGGGAAAACCACACTGCGATCCCTTCCCCTCCGTTCTCCCCTTGGGATTTTGGCCATGCACGCACATGCACCCAGCATGTCATTTTCAAGCCACTAGGTCCAAGACTCTGACCACAGCGTCAGCCATATGAGATCCAGCCACCTTAACCACCACATCATCTGCTGGCCTGCTCATTTCTTTTTAACACGGATAATAACCTATAGTCTAGGTGTAACCATTTTCATACATTTGTAAGAAACCTAATTTTTAGTGGGATGATATAATTGATCACTAACTGTTAGGTCGTTGGGAAAGTCATGTATTTTCCTACGTTTTTCTATGTAAAAATGTGTCATAACTTTTCTGACAACCTAATAGCATTATAATAGAACAGTAACGAAACAGAAGTAATATTTGGCTTAAACAGAAAAAAACTCTGTATCAAGCCTATTAATAAAAAGGCTATTATTACCCTTCTGTTTGCTAAGTACACTGAGGCTCAGAGTGAATCTGTCTTAGCCATGGCAGGTAAGCGGTGATGAGAGATCTGTAGAAAGGACAGACGTGTCTAGAATCCCAGCCATTTGCTCTACCGCAGATCAGAACATACTGTACTGACCTTTCCTGTGTAACGTTTTAAGGTTACATACGTGGGGGTGGGGAGGATGCTTATTCCCCACTCCAAAGGCTGGCTCGCTCTCTCCCCCTTAACAATTCTCTCTCTCTGACCACACCGTAATCCCTTCTCCTCCATTCTCCTCTTTTGATTTTGGGTTCACATTCACATGCACCTGGCATGAGTTTCAAGCCTGTGGATCTGGGATTTGAACCAAGGTCAGCCATATGGGAATTCAGTTACATAACCATTACACCATCTGCTGGGCCCCCTTCTTTCTCCTTTTACCTGTTGCTCTCCTTGGGGAAGAAGGAGCCACTTACCTGACTGAGTGGGTGGGGAGGAACTGGGCATGCTCAGAGCTGCTCCTCTCTCATCCCTGGAATCTACCTGCCTGCAGAGAACATGCTGGTCACCTGGTTCACACTTTACCAGACAAATTGACCTGAGGTTGTCCAGTGCTGACAGTGATAGGGTCAATCAGTGTGTCCGACTAAGAAATGTGACACTGAACACATGCCCTGCAAACAACTTTATGAAAGTAATAACATTGACGCCCTAATCTCCATTCTCTCTGACTCCTGCCTCTGATTGGTTATCCTAATTTAAGTAGGAGGAGCCCCTTCCCCAGACCTCATAATAGCATTATAAATAGCTCCTAAAAGTCTCCTTCACATTATCAGCCAGTGCTTTATGGTGCCAAGGGGTCTCTACTATCTCTGAGTCTGCTAACTTGGAAGCTATTTCAGGCCAGAAAGATGAGATACCGGGAACTATAGCAATGTAGTAACTTACATTGAAAGCACTGAACTAGCTTGAAAATGTTGCAGCCTACTTTCTGGTGATCATTTGGTCCCTTAGAGAAATCTGACTCAAAAATTAAATTTTAGATCAGAAATGCAACTACCTACAGTCTACCCAATTCTATTTAGAAAGGTCTTCATAGAACCAATCCAAACTAGGTTAAATTTTCATAAAAAGAAAATGGATATTAAGGCACCAATCCGGTTTTTGGTCCAGTGTTGGAAAGATCCTCCCTTTTCTGTCCTAAGGGTTTGATACACATTTTCATGCCTCTATTTCCATCCCAGTACACCCAGATCACTTTATAATATCTGAACTTCCTTGAGCCAAGGTTGAAATTCCACCTCAAGAAATAATACGGACCACAGTAAGAGAAAGTGTAATGTTCATGTGTCTGTCCATGTGGGACTACACGAGAACTGAGATGAGCTCCCTGAGAACTGAACCTAACTTGCCAGTATTCAGTGCATTACCTGCGAAGTCTCATTCATGTGAACCTTTTAACAAAGCTTGGTGGGGCCAGACACTGGCACAGTGGTCAAACAGTGCTCTGTGAGGAGACTGAGCATGGGGAGGTTCCTGGTTTTCATCTGAAGTGCACGGGGCACATGTGTGCCCATGATCCTGGACTGCCTGAAGGCTGGGGCTAGGTTGTGGCATCAGAACCTTTTTTTTTTTTTTGAGAGATTTTTGCTATAGGGTGCATGTACTCACCAGAAAGACAGAGACAGAAAGCGAGAAATATTCCCTTGGGGGGATGGCTATGCTGCAATCCCTTCCCCATTCTCCTCTCGGCATCTTGGGCATGCATGCACACACGCCCGGTGTGAGTTTAAGCCACCGGGTCTGGGACTCAAACCGTGGTCGACTACATGCGATTCCAGTGACATAGCCATTACGCCAACTGCTGGTCCTCATCAGAACCCTGTTGGGGCTGCTGTCTCTCTCCTTTCTTTCTCTCTCACTCAGAGAAAAAAAAAGGGGGGAGGGAACCAGCAGTTAGCATAATGGCTATGTCGCTGGACTCCCACGTAGTCTACCATGGATTGTGTCCCGGACCTGGTGGCTTAAAACTCACGCCGGGCGCGTGCGCGTGCATGCCCAAGATCCCGAGAAGAAAATGGAGGAGAAGGGATTGTGGCGTGACCATCCTCCCTGAGGGGTGATTTCTTGCTTTCTGTCTCTCTGTCTCTGTCTGTCTGGCGAGCGCACGCGCCCTATAGCAAAAACCTCTCCCCAAAAAAAGAACAAACAATTTTTAACTATTGCTGGCTAGTGAGAAAGAAGATGGTAATGACGACAGGAAAGGTTTTCCTAGGAATAGTCACCATCTTGTTTCATGTGGGCTGTCTGATGAGATAGTCATTGATGCTTATTCCTACCCTTCTCCTCCCTTGCCCACCTCCACCCAGGAGACTGGGAGCCAAATGCACCTGGCTTGGTTCTACCGAAGGACATGTGTGTGGATGATCTCAGGAGGCCCTCTGGAGGCCCCTTGCTTTTCTTCACATGAGACTGGTAATGCCCCTCCCCCTTTCTCTTGCCCTGACAGGAATCAGGACATGATTCCTGGAGCAGCAACAGCCATTTACAGCCACGAGGTGACCAACAACTCTCTAAAGCAGCTAGTAGCTTAGTGAACAAAGGTTACTCTATCTGCCAACCCTTCCTCCCCGGAGTAGCCATGGTAATTGTGGGACACTGGAAATTCCTGGAACATCAATGTGCCAAAGAAGACAAGCTGTGCTGTTAAAACTAACTGCTGGCCTACTAGTCTCAACTAATAGAAATGGAACAAGATGTTACAAGCTCTCTGCTTCAATTCTGGCGCAAGTCCTGAGGCAGAGAGCAAACCAGTAGATTCCAACTACTCCCATGTTCCAAGGTGAGGTGCTAGACCAGCTCACCCGGGCCTGCAAAGAGATATTAGAGAGCCTGCGACTGCCCACAGGTCAGAAGGTAGCCAGGCCAAGAGGGAGAGGTTGGAAGTTAGCATCAACTTCTTTAAGGGGAGTTGGCGTTTCCCAGACGGAAGCCTGCAGGGGAAGTTGGGTCGAGGCCTTTCTTGATGTACCCTCTGTCTCCTCACATTTTCTGTCTGGAATGTGGCACTTTCTCACCCCATCTCACCCCACAGTGGGTGGGAGAAGGGGGCATAGGGAGACGGACTTTGAAGAGACCCTTCAGAGAATGACCACATACCCAGGAGCTTGGCAGGCCAGACAACACGGGGATGTCACATACCTGAGAAATCTTAACTACAAGAAGCCCTTAAGTCAACAAAACAAGGTAAGGTGGCTACATTGGGTACAGAGTCCCAGTCCTTGGGTGTTTCAAGTGACAAAGGATATAGGGTTTTTTTCCCATGGACCAGAATGGGCCATGAGAAGGAGCTGCCCCAAAGGGCTTTCAGGAAGAAGGACTGAGAAAAGCATCTAAAGGCTAATGAATGTTCTCACCCCTCAGGTGAACACCTCCCAGTCTAAGGGGAGTCTCCAAGAAACCCCAAAGCTCTATTGCAAGAGCAAAAAAAAAAAAAAAAATTAGCTTCCAATGTGTGCCACTGCCAATAGATTCAATGGTGACAATATGGTGTCTCCCCGCACTGGCCAGTTCACCCTCCAGGAACTGAGTCAGCCCTGGGAGTGAAAGGGATAAGGGTAGACAGAAAATGTGGGGAAGTAGAGGGTGCTTCCGGAAGGCCTCAACCCAATTCCCACTGCAGCCTTCTGTCTGCGAAGAGCTTTAACTTCAATGAATCCCTATTGCAGAGGTGACCTGGAAACTTTTCTATCCAAGAGCCACTGAAGTCCGCAGGGCTGCCAGACTTACCCCAGGGGCTGAGGGAAAACCAGCCACCCTCTCCCCTACACAACCTACCACACCCCACCCATACTCTGGAGTGTTGGACCAGCTCTGGAGAGGAAAGAAGAGGGTTTCACTCTGGTGGACCCACAGACGCTGCCCATGCCACACGGGTTTCACAAACGTGACACATAATGCCCGTGGTGGGCTCGTATGTCCAGTTGGCTCCAGAGTATATCCTCGGTCCCTGAACACTAGTCCTAAACACTAACCTCCTTGGAAACGTGCAGCTTCTAGAGCAAAATGCTACGTGGAATTGAGACCTTTGGTTGGTTAAATACAATATAGAAAGTGGCACAAGGAGCACAGACTTGCCTGATTCCTTTTTAAAATGAGGGTGAAAAGTGGCCCCTGGAATCAGGTAGTGGCCCAGCAAGAATGTAACTGAACCCACATGGGAGAGACCCTGGGTTTGTGCCAGGGGCCTCCCCGAGCTCACCAGGTACACACGCATGCCTGTAATCCAGGCTACCTCGACTGGGATGGACCCATGACAACCTGGTGGCAGATGCTTCTCACTCTCTCTCTCCCTCTCATGGAAAAAATTAATAAGTAAACTTTAAAAAAAAAAAAAAAAAGAAGAAGAAGAAAGAAAGAAAGGAAGGAAAGCAACTCCTTTCCCCTCTCATTTCCCATCCTTCAAAAATCCTGCTGGAGTGAGAAGGTCTGGCTCAGGCTGAGTTCCAAGTGAGCCTCGGCCGGTGAGAGATGAGTTGGGTCTTTGCACCAGACAACGTGTTGAAAAGCACCAGACCAGAAGTAGCTGACGTTTATCTGTCTCTACTGAGTTCCCAGGAATACTGCCGGGGTTTCTGAACCCACGTGGGAAGCACTGTCAGCCCGTGCCTGGAGGCGCAAGAAGAGGGAGATTGGGCAATGTCTGTGCCCTCTCTCCCACTGCCCTCGACTCACTGGGTGCTCTCCCTGTCCAACTTTACTCAGCTCCTGTGCCAAGCAGGGGAGACCCAGCCAGGATATTTATAGTGCTGGTACATGATTGGGCAGCTAGTGGGAGCAGATGTTTTCTGGTACAAGCGAAGGGAGCTATTTATACTGGGAGCTGGATGAAAATCAGCCAGAAGGGAGGCCATAGTCCTAGATGTTTCTCTCGATACTAGGGAAAGTGTTCAACATCCTTAGGTGTCAACACGCCCCATCCTCACTGCCGAGATAGCTCCATTCAGCTGATGCCAATCACAAGCCAGGCTCTGGGTGGGCGCTGGATTGACTAAGACAGCCCCCACTCCTCGGGATGGTGCAGGAGGGAGACATCACGAAAACAATTAGTGATTATATGACACTTCACTGCAAGCGTGGGGACACAGGAACAACCAACACCATGAGGCTGCTGAGCCTGGTGAGTGGTGGTGGGACGGAAGGGGGCAAGGATGGCCAGGGCGAGCCACAAGGCCATGGCAGTTCACCTGACTTTGAAGAATGGGTAGGGAGAGGCCCAGGTGAGAAGGGCAGAGGGAACCAGAGATGGAATGGAGGTTCTGCAGCCTGCCTCATGCATTCTGGGCATATCAAGGAATCATGTGGGTGGCCAGAGTCAGCATAGGTTGGGGGGGGGGAATAGGGGTGGTTCCTGAGGGATGTCAGAGAAGAGGGCTGAACAGGTGAGCGGGGATGAGACTGTACAGGGTGACTTTTCTCGCTCGGAAACATGGAATTATGTAGCCTTGGCCTTTAGGAGGGAAGAGGCAAAGGCTTCTAAGGAGGAACAGGACTCCAGGAAGTGATGTGAGCACAGGGTCTGTGGACAGGTCTCTCCTCGGGTTCCCAGTGTCCTGGGCGCTGTCCTTAAACACAGCTGGCACCCCATCGATGCGTGCCGAAGGAGCGGGCTCTCTGTATATCCCTGGCTCGAGGCAACATCCATGAGACAAGAGGGCCACTAAGCACGCCCAGCCCTCCCTAAGGCCCCAAGAACAAGCCCAGGCACACTGGCTGAGGGCCAGAGGGCAGCTGCGGTGCCTTCTCCCTCTACGGGGGTTCGGCCTTACCCCATTCCCCTTGGCAGATCCAAGCCAGGCTCTCTTCCTGGCCACTGCTCACCCCACTCAGATTCGGGGCCCACTGCTTTCCTTCCACCTCACCACTCAAACGGCCGCAGCCTTTCTTTCTACCGGAAAGCCAAGAAACACCAACAACCGAAGACACTTCCAAGGCGCGTGCTTTGCCAAAGACTGGAGGGATGCAGGGAGTGCGGGATGCCTCACCGTTGCCTTTTCCTTGTTCTTAAACCTTCTCAGCATCTCTGCCTTCCCTGACTGTGACCTCGCCTGGCTTGCTGCCTCCATTTCTCCTCAGGCTCTTCTTACCTTTTCTCTCTTTCTTCCCAAATGCTTGTTCATCTCTTATTTTTTTAAATAATTATTTATTTAAATTTATTTATTATTATTTTAATTTGCTATAGGGCACATGCGCTCACCAGAAAGAGACAGAGAGAGAGAGAGAGGGAAAGTGAGAAAACAAGCCACCAGGTCCAGGACTCAAACCATCATCAACCACGAGGGAGTCTAGCACCTTAACCACCACGCCACCTGCTGGCCCTTTTGTAAATTTTTTTAATTGCGGGAGAGCACCTGCACTTGCCGGAGAGAACAGAGACAAGAGAGATGGAGGGGGAGAAAGTGCTACCCAGTGGCACATGATCACGTTGCACCCCTTCTCCATTTCCGACAGGCAGGATCTGGGAAACTCTTTTCCCTGATCTGCACCCCTGTGACTTTAACACATGAAGGCACTCACACGTGTGTGCACTCATCCACACTCACACTCTGCCACATTCTCAAGCACCTGCACACACGCTCACACACACACGTCGCTGTGTGGCACAGCCTCCCTCCCCACCCCTACTCCCTGGAGAAGGAGTCTGGATCCCCACCTTTCTGCCTCATCTTCCTTGGCTTCACCCCTCACCCCCGCAGGAGTCCTGGGCTGTGCTCCTGAATAATATTCTGGGCAGCTGTCACCCCTGGAATTGCATATGCAGAGAGGGCTAAGGGCTATGGGAAGTCTGTTACTGTGCAGCCTCCGCCCAGCGTGGCACAGGACACATGCATGGCCACTGCTCATCTGAGCAAGAATTGCCACCATCGCCCCCTTCCCAGGGACCAACAGCTACCAAAAAAGAAAAATGTTTGCACGCAGTTTATTGGAAAAACTGCACCCACGATGAAGAAAGTCTGTTCAGAAAGACCTTTTTCAAAGAAAGGACAACTGTTAACAGGCTCCATTTTGACAGATGCATTTCCCGGGGGTCTCTTTATCATTACAGATTCCAAGTGGGATCGATGCTGTACTTGGAAAAAGAGAGAAATATTTCTGAGACAGAAAGTGGGAAGGAAACCAAGGAGGAAACTCACTTTGCAAGTCATTGTTCTTGCTAAATACAAAAATTGATTATTTTATCGAAGAGCTGTTGTCAGGTCAGTGTCCCCTCCCCACCTCAGAAAATCTTTCATCTGCCCAGTAGGAAACTGATGCCTGGAAGTCGTTTGCAGAGTGGAGTGATTGTGAGGATCTCTGCTGGAAGGTGCACCCAGCCCCTTTCCCAAGCCTCTGAAATTTGACAGAGGCCAGGACAGTGATTAAAGGCCTGTGGCGCCCTCTGGTGAGGAGAGCCCAATCCCTCTGTGCGCCCGGGGCAGATATTCCTCTGCTGTGGATTCAGCCTCCATCCCCTAACCCCAGTGCACAACCCAAGTTTCACAGCTTTGCTCACAGCTTTTTTCAGAGTCTGCAACTTCCCAGCAATGTGGAGCTGATGGGTCCAGTCTTGGAAAACCTCATTCAGATTCTAGCCAGGGAAGGAGGGAGGTATTTATCCCAGAGAGAGAGATGCACAGTTCTGATCAATGGAAAACCAGAGGTCCTACTGGGTGTTAGGCCTCCTGGTTCCCAGATGCTGCCCACAGGCCCCAGAGGAAGAGGCGGTGCACCCATCCTCCCAGCCCTGCTGTGGTGGCGGGGTTTTCCTCAAGGTTCAGACTGAGCAGATAGCAGACTTCCAAGTTGAACTAAGCATTTCTGTACATCTGGTATGAAAGTACTTGTGAGAAATGATCACAGGAGTCCCAGGGAACACTAAAAGCAAATTCTACTGCCTGTGAAAGGATGTAGCCTCAGAACAACCCAACACCAGAACTTTCCTTCTAGGTCCAGTGGAAATATTTGTGGAAGGCCAAAGGTGGACTCTGTCCTTCCCAGGCCCTGACTTGAAGCCCAGAGGAAATTATAGGGAGTTCTGGACATGGCCCTAATGCTTCGAGAATCTCTAAAATTTATATGCCTGATGTTCCCAGGGCCTGGACTGAGATTCCCATCCAAGGCTGGATGGTTTGATTTTCATAAATATCTGTCATTGCCTCAACAAGAGGCTCTGTGGGTATAAACCGAGGATCCAAGAGACATTTCTCTCTCTGTCATGTGTGCTATTCAGGTGGTAGGTTCCTTCCAAGGATTCCAAAATTCCTCAGAGGGATAAGCCACAGTCTCTGTTGGAATTAGGGAAGAAGGACCTTAATGCATCCTGATGCTCACACCTGAAGGAGGCTGACAGGCCTACCCTCTGCCAAGGGTTTGAATGCCGATGAGGCTCTTGGAAGGCTCATTGGGAACCCTACGAAAGAAATTCAGAAGATTCCATCTGACGTCATCCATCCCACTAGAGAAGACTCGTAGGTTGCATTTACTCTCTGGCCTCAATCCTCCAAATTCTAGAGAGAGTTATTTTTTCTTGAAGTACAAGAACTCCAGTGATCAAAGTTGGAAGCATCCTTGCATTTTCAGTGCAACAGGAAAATAAGAGCTTTCTTAAATTCAGAGTATGATAAGGGTGTTATGAGGGGTCCTGCTCTCAGACATGCAGTGGCATGAAATCCTGCTACCGGCTTACCTCCTCCACCGATGCCTTGGTTCCTCATCTTTGAAACGCCTATAGTGCTTACTCCTTCACTTTTTTTTTTTTTTTTCTTTTAGTAAGACAAAGAGAAAGAGGTACTGTTGACGGGTCCTTACTTCATGGTCCTCTGCCCCAGTGTTCCAGCTGGTCAAGACCACCATGCCCAGCATGTTCAGGTTGGTCCAGGATCTGAACTAAAGTCTTTCAGGTGGCCTAGCCTTGTGTAGTGGCACCCCACTAGCCACACCACCACACAACTGGGTTACTCATTTTTTTTTTAATTGCCAGAGGGTGAGTGCATTTGTCAGAGAGAGATAGAAAGAAAAAGCACCTGCGAATGGTGCGTGCTCATGCCACAGTCCTTTTTCCTCAATGACTACATCCCATTAGAATTCTGGGAACATAGTCACACACTCCCAGCATGCTTTTCTTCTTTTCTTTTTTTTTTTTTTTCTTTTTTTTTTTTTTTTTTTTTTTTTTTGAGAGAGAGATTTTTGCTATAGGACGTGTGTGCTCACTAGAGAGACAGAGAGACAGAAAGCAAGAAGTCATCTCTTCGGGGGGATGGCCACATTGCAGTTCCTTCACCTCCATTCTCCTCTGGAGATTTTGAGCACACACACACACACACGCCCAGTGTGAGTTTTAAGCCACTGAGTCCAATACTCGAACCATGGTAGACTACATGGGAGTCCAGAGACATAACCATTACACCATCAGCTGGTCCCTCCCAGTACGTTTTCAAGCTGCCAGGGCTGAGATTTCAGCTGTCATTAGCCATGTAGAATCCAGCTCTCTAGGCAGAGGACCTAACCACTGCACTGCAGAGCTGGCTCTAGGGTGCATCTATGTTTAACCTTTTGAGGAATCGCCAGACTGCTTCCCACTCTACTCACTTTTCATGAGTCCTGAGAGCTGACCACTGCATTTGACAAACAACAGTACTACTGGATCTTTCCAGAAAGAGTTAGAACAAACACTAGAGTTAAAAGTCTATTTTGGTGGAGAGAGCTGGTTATCTGGTTGGTTAACCAGTTGTTTAGATGAAGGTAATGATAACTTTTTAAATCCCATCTGTTTACTGCTGAGAAGTATTCTAATTGAAACGTGCCATTAGAGTTGCCTCCCTGAGCTACAGGGGCACAGTGAGGGCTTTGTTCCCCCTGGCAGTCAGGGCGCACTATCCTCCAGGGTCAATCATTCATTCATTCCAGCACGCTGTGTAGGGGCCATTGCAAGTCAGGCCTGGAGCCAGGACCGTGGAGCAAGACAAACACAGTTTCTACCTTCATGGGGCCGATGTTCTAGAATGGGAGCGAGTTCAAGGAAACAGACAAAAGTATTACTCCGGAGGTAGCAAAGGGGCTAAGAGAGAATAGTGCAGGCACACGCATTTCTTCGACCGGATGCTCAGGTAGGAGTCTCAGTTTTCTCCATTGTCCTAGCAATGACCTCAAATAGCAGTACAAAACAGCACCCATTTACAAGCTCACAGTTCTGGGGGGCTCTGTTAAGTTCTGTGCTCAAGGTCTCTCTCACAAGCTGAAATCGGGGTGCCAGCTGGAAGGGGCTTTCTTCTTTATTTGATTGTGCCATAGGGTGCGTGTGCTCAGCGAAGAGAGACGAGGGTGAGGGGGCAGTAAAAAATCACCCAGCCCCAGGGCAGATGGCCATGCTGCAATCCCTTCTCCTCCATTCTCCTCTTGGGATTTAGGGCACACACCTACACACTCCTGGCATATTTCTCTAGCCAAAGGGTTCAGGACTCGGACCACACAGTTGGCCATACAGGATCCAGCTGCTGTAACCACCATGTCACCAACTGGCTCCTGGGCTCTTCTCTAAAAACTCTGAGAAAGGACCCTCTCCTGAGCTCATTGCAGGTGTCGCAGAATGCAGCTTCTTACAGTGGTAGGACGGAGGCGACTGCATCCTTGCCAAGTATGAGCCAGGGTCACCCTCAGCACCTGGGGCTGTTCATCTGCCTTCTCAAGTGGCTCCTTTCATTTCAAAATACCTGGAGTTCTTCCTTTGCTTTGAATCCTTGAACTTCCCCTTCTGCCCCCAGCCAGGGACAGCCCTCTGTTTTACAGCCCGTGTCATTAGACCAGACCTGCTGCATGATCTCCATCCTCCCACCTGGACGGAGCTGTGCCGCAACATGACACAATGCCAGGAGGACACAGCGTCACAGTCACAGGTTCCTGGGATCCGGACTTAAACGAGGGGAGAGGAGTATTTCTAGAAGCACAGGCAGAGACTCAGACCTGGAGTGTGAGGGAGAGATGGGGTTGTGGCCAGAGGGGGCAGCATCCTCCCTGCAGGAACAAGTGACCATGGCAAGTGGCCTGAGAGGAGGTGAGCAAGCAGAGGAGACCCTCCACCACTGGGGTCCTTGTTGACAACCATGGCAGAGTGGAGCCAGAATACCAGGCTTGCTTTCTGGAAAGACACCCCAAAATTTTGCTTTTTAAAAATAGCTTGGATGTTGGGGCCAGCAGATTGCATAGTGGTTACAGCACTGGACTCCCACATGGTTGACCACAGCTGGGGTCTTGGACCTAGCAGCTTGAAAATTGTGCCAGGCATGTGTGCATGCATGTCCAAAATCCCAGGAGGAGAATGGAGAAGTGATTGTGGTGTGGCCATCCCCTAAGAGGATGATTTCTCACTTTCCCTTTCACTGTCTGTCTCTCTCTTCTCCAGTGCCCTATAGCAAAAACCTGTTAAAAAAAAATTTTTAATAGCTTGGTAGGGCCAACAGATGGCATGGGTTAAGGTGCTGTATCCCACATAGCTGACTTTGTAGTTTGAGCCCTAGACACAGTGGCTTGAAAAACATACTGGGTGTGTATGCATGCATGCTCCAAAACCCTGAGTAGAAAGGATAGCAGCATGGCCATCCGTGCTGAGGAATGATTTCTCACTTCCCCTTCTCTCTTTCTTTCTCTCTGGCAAGTGCACATGCCCTATGACTAAATAAATAAATAAATAAATAAATAAATAAATAAATAAATAAATAAATAAAATAGCTTGGTTAAGATACAATGTATAATTGGCACCCATGAAAACATCTCCCCAGTCCAGATGAATATATCCAGCACTCCCATGCCACTTGGTGATCTTCTCCTCTGCAACTGCTCCTTCATCTCCAAGCAACCAACATCTGCATCCCATCACTTACATTTTCTAGAGCTTTATATAAATGCAACCATACACTACTGTATCGTCATGAACTGAATTGTCCCCCCACCCCAATTCCCCTGTTGAAGTCCTAACTCCTAGTACTTCTGACTGTATTTGGACACAGGTCTTTAAAAAGGTGATTAAGTTAAAATGATGTCATTAGGGTGGGCCTTAATCCAATAGGACGAGATTAAGACAGGGGCCAGACAGCTGTACAACAGTAAAATGTGACACTGTGTCAGACAATCCCACATGGGAAGGTTCTGGGTTCATGCACTAAGACCTCCCTGAGTATGCTGGGCATGTATGTGGTCATGACCTGGCACTGGCTGAAGGCTACAGGTGGGTCAAGGTGTCAAGGCCCTGTTGGGGGGTTTCCTCTCTTTCTTTCTCTCTCTCTCTCTCACTGTCTCTCTCATGGAAGAAACAAAAATTTTTAGAGAGATTTTTGCTATAGGGCACATGCACTCACCAGAGAGACAGAATGCAAGAACTCATCCCCAAGAGGGATGGCCACACCACAATCTCTACTCCTCCATTCTCCTCTCAGGATTTTGGACACACACGCACACACACCCAGCGTGTTTCAAGCCCCTGGATCCAGTAGGTATTGGAACTGCAATCGGTCATGTAGGAGTCCAGTGACATAACCATTATGACATCTACTGGTCCTGAAACAAGTAAGTTTTTAAGAAAAGAGAGTGTGGGACACAGACACACATATAGGGACAGCCACATGAAGACACCAGAAGACTCACTTGCAAGCCAAGAGAGGGAGACCACCAACACCTTGATTTCTGACTCCTGGACTCCAGAAAATAAGGTTCTATTGTTGAAGCCACCTCTCTGTGGCATTTTTTGGTGGCAACTCTAACAACCTAATACAAGTGGTGTCCTTTTTTGTTGTTTAAGTTTATGCATTCAGCCAAATTGTCTGCAATTCTATGTTGTTTGCATATGTATCATAGCTCATTCCATCTTACTGTGAAGTAATATCCCCTTATACGGATATACCACCATTTGTTTATCCTGCTTAAAGACATTCAGGTTATTTCCAATTTTGCTTATTGCAAATAATACTTCTATGAACAATGAGGACACTGCTTCTCTTCTATGAATACTTTTTTCCTTTCTTTTTTTCTTTTTTTTTTTAAATAGATTTTTTTTTTTGGCTATAGGGAGTGTGCACTCGCCAGAGAGAGACAAAGACAAAGAGCAAGGGAAAGTGAGAATCACCCTCCTGACCCCAGGGAGAATGGCCACATTGCAGTCTCCTCTCAGGATTTGGGGCAATTACACACACATGCCTGGTGTGTTTTGCAAGCTGCTGGATCTGGGACTCAAACCATGCAGTCAGCCATGTGGGACCCAGTACCTTAACTAGCATGCCATCTGCTGGCCTTATGAATATTTTTATCCACAGACAGGTCTTTGTGTGACCATATACTGCCTTTTCTTTTAGGTAAATACTTAGAAATATAATGGCTAGATCATATGGCAGGTATGTATTTAGCTTTTTAAAAACTACACTGTTTTCCACAGTGGTTGCACTATTTTATATTCCCAAGAGTAGTATATGAGAGACCCAGTATCTCTGTATGTATATGTGTATATGTGTGTGTGTGTGTGTGTGTGTGTGTGTGTGTGTGTGTGTATGAGGTTTTTGCTATAGGGCACATACACTCGCCAGAAAGACAGAGTGAGACAGAGAAACAGAAAGCAAGAAATCACTCCCCAGGGGGATGGCCACATTGCAATCCCTTCTCCTCCATTCTCCTCTCGGGATCTTGGGCACGCACGCACACACGTCCAGTGTGAGTTTAAGCCACCAGGTCTAGGACTCGAACAGTGGTCAACTACATGGAAGTTCGGTGACATAGCCATTAAGCTAATTGCTGGTCCTAAGTACCTCTATATTTTCACCAACATTTGGTAGGGTCAATCTTTTTCATTTTAGAGATTCTATAATAATATATGTATAGCAATATCT